ACACACCGAATCCATGGATTTTGAGCTGTGAATACACAATACTTAGACCTACGACAAAGTGTTTTCGATAATGTTCGATGTTACTATATGAGTAACAGTGATGGAAAGTGGTTCCAAAATTAATTCCAGCGTGGTTGTTTCCAAAAACACATATCTTCCCATACGAATAGGTTTGTATTCGCTTCTATTATTCCTTTTTATCAACATGTTTACGTTAATGAAAAGAAAACGAGGAATGAACTGAACAGACATATCCGTAACTGCTAAACTAATAATATTTGGCCTTTCTGTGAGCCATGTGGTTTTTAAGTATGCTAATGTATGGCCTATAGAATGAGTACAAAGACCTTAGGAATAAGTCGCACAAGCGCAAGAAAAAGGGATGACTTGGGTGGGACGCGTTACCGCGTCACTGTCGTCAACGTATTATAAACTATCCATCATCCACCTACTCTACCTTTGCACTAGCCCTTCAACAAACTTATTTTCTATCGTACGAGTATTTGTACTAGCATTTTTTGTCGCGCAATTCCACGACGTTATATTTTGAAGGGTAGGAGCTTGAGCGGTAATAAAATTTTAGTGAGCCCACTGAGAAGTAAATATGTCACACTAGTCAGCAGAGCTTTCTAAAGAAGCGCCTCGCTCTGACTCAATTTCCGCGTTGTCTAAGTGGAATCTATGTTGTACTCGAAAGCAGTGGCTAAGGGGGTGATTACCTCAATGACCATTACCGGCAGTTTCACCTCATATCCGAGACTCATCACATTCAAGAAAGCTGACTGTGAAAGACCCTTACTGACCAGGACTTCAAACAATGTCGCAATGGTCCACAATCGCTCGAAGCTGAGGTGATAATAAATCTTAGGTCGGCGGGATCCAGATCATCGACGATTTCTCGATGGTTATTTTTGAACTTTCTTCATCACTTGCACAACTTTCTCAGCAAGCCCAGCGAGCTTTTCAGTACAGTCTCATTTCCGATGTTGTAGTTTTCGGAGCGGAAATCCTATAATCACCGCTTGCACCACCATGCATATCGTGCCCTCGCCTTATGATTCGTCGAAATCCCTGAGTGCTTCCTTGGCGCTGTTCCTTTTTTACCTCGTAAAGATGGCTATGTTTTTTGCCCCTCCCACTTTGGCACGAAATTAAAAGCTATGTCGCGCTCGAATTCTGCGGGGAGAAAGTAGACCGAAGGCAGGCGTTTGTTGCTCGTCTTCTGTTATTTTGGAAGCATCAAGCAAAACGAGCATTAAGTAGAGGATGACCCATTACTTACGTTGGTACCGTCACGTGCTCTTTTTCCAAACACTTTTACAGTTTATCTGCGCACCCAGTGCCGCACACAGCGGTCATCTTACAAGGGAAGGTCACCGGAGCGGTCCCGTCGTCTTGAGACGATGATCTCAAACTGCTTTCCATATTTGCTAAATGGTACTCTGGGCGGAGTCACCAGCACTGGGTACTAGGTGGTGGATTCTACTCCTTGGTACTCACAAGATTTGCCTTTTTTCGAGGCTTTCCGTTAGGGTTCAGAAAGTTTTTTATTTTATTTCAATGATTCCGCTGATCTGTGAGTTTACTCGGCGCTGTCAAGAATCCCGGAACTTTTTGTTGCTCATTTTCGAAAAATTTATTATGGTTCTATTAGATAACTCGTATTGTAATAAACTTATAAGATTATAAGGGTTACGTACACGTTCTATTCCCTAACAAAATGGTCAGGACAAAATAGTTTTACACAATGAGCATAACAAATAAAGTAAAATTTTCTGTACTCGGCACAATCACACAGGGGAGTTTGAATCATCTCCTCAACAATACTATTTTGGAACGATTCTCGGTTTTTGGATCGATGGACCCTTCGCCTGTGCAAAATCGACCTGAGAGCTAATGTATTTCCCCAACTAGCCCCTGAGGCCTTAAGCTGTTCACTGCTTAACACTGATAGTATTCGGCTTCTGAAAGAGATTCATGACATACTTGTCAACAAAGCGCCGGAAGCCCTACCACTACTCGAGCGTTTCGTGAGTTCTATTCCGTACTTTCGCGTAGTGTGGTTGAAGCTGACAAACGTTAGCGTTCTATTGTTCTGTATGGAGTGCCAGAGGCTGAGAAGAACGTTGCGCCTTCCCAGCGTCAGGCTCAAACAGAAGTTGTTGCTAGTATTCTTGATACCCTGGATGTTGAGACACGTCCTGTGGAGACCTACAGGATGGGTTCCAGGATCCAGGGAAAACCAAGATTAGTAAAGTGTGTCTTTTCATCTCGAAAATACCTTCTGGAGGTTCTGTCGCGAGCACGGAAATTACGATCGGTGCCGGCCTATAAAGACGTTTATATTCGAAAATCGATGACCCAAGACGAACGCAAGAAAGAGAAAGAGTTGAGAGCGAAAGCGCGAGTTAAATGAGAAGGACTGTAAAGGTGAGCGAACTTATGTAGTTTACAAAGAAGAATTAGTGAAAATATCCGATACTTCCTATGTTGAAAAATAAGAAAGATCCCCATTCTTCTTTCCGGGTCCATTCCCTGGACCTTCCCTGAACGTTGAATGTCTGCTCATTAATGCTGGAAGCCTTGCAAATAAGCTACCTCAGTTTCACTGTCTCTTGAGTGCTTCAAAACCTCATTTAGTTTTCGTAACAGAATCTGGTTGAGTAATAGAATTTCTGACTCCGAGATTAGTTCGGGTTTCCCATATTTTATTCTGAGAAAAGATAGATCCGGCCGCAAAGGTGGAGGGGTATGTGCCTTGATTCATAGTCTGGTGTCATATGAGCAAGTATGCTTCGAAAGTAGCGGTCTAATGTCTGATGTGATATGCTTCGATACTTTTCTGCCAAGTAGGCGTCAATGATTATTATTTATCGTCCACCCAATGCCTCTGGTGCCCAGGACGACCTTCTCATATCGACCATATGCGATCTCGCCTGTGCACTGCCCCTGGCTACCACAATAGTCGGTGACTCAAACTTAGATCTTGACTGGGGTGGCCACACTGGAATTAGACCCTCGGCGGGAAAATTTTTATCGATTTTCAATGCACTATCCCTTACGCGATACGTTGATTTTCCGACCCGGCAAAACAATATTTTAGACATTGTCTGTAACTGAAGGTAGTAGTATTACACGTGTGCACACCCTACCCCCATTAGCATCATCTGATCACAACATAGTAGCATTTTCACTGGTGGATGTTAAGCATGCGGAGCATACTACCCCCTCTAGGGATTTCAGCCAAATGAATAGGGATGCCATCGCTTATCACCTCTTACAAATTGACTGGTTTAGGGTCTTCTCCGGCTATGTCAACCTAGACGATGTTTATGCCAGATTTCGTGACATCGTTTGCTTCAATTCCTCTGAAATGCCGCAAAAGGGAAACGATTACCCTCCACACATCCCGAGTCTAATCAAATAATGGGAGAGGATATTTTGGCATACCGGAAAACCCCATGAATTCAGATGTGCTTGCTGAGATCAACAGAAAGCTAGACCATCATTTAAAGCGTTTCTTGGCCTACAAAGTCAAAAAATGGCAGAAAAAGGCAATATGAAGCATCTGGCTGCGTTCACAAACAAATTTCTCAAACAAGTGCCAGTATTGCGTGCATTAGAAGGACCAGGTGGGGAAACGTATTCTACTAATCAAAGCAAGGCCGAAGCGCTTGCTGATTATTTTGAAGTATTGGGTCATCTCATTCAAACATGTCCAGACATCTAGAGAAATGGTGGGAAAAGTAAAAGAGCTAGAGCATTCTGCTTGCTTTTGTTTTGAAGCTAGCACACCTAGCTACGGTATACCCCAATTAAAGGCAAACTCCGGGATAAAACGAGGGACTCACCTGTTCGAGTATGAAGTGTTGGGTGCTAAGTTGATCGAAGGTAATGAAAAAAGCAGGAAATACCTCCAAAGAACTCCAAAATTAGAAATTCCTCTTCGTTAGTCGCTTACGAACCAGGGCTGGGAAAATTACGTTTGACATGTCTACAGCAACTGTTGGCTTTGTGCCATTAACCGAC